TGTTTTTGTTTTTTAAAAAAAGCTCCCCATCTAACCCAGGCTGGAAGCCTAATCCCACCACTGACAGGAAGGTGAGCTTGAATTTGCTGTTTCCAACCTAGCTGGCTCATTCCTCCCCCAGCAGCCCAGGGGCCTACCTCTCCTGTGTGTGCCATCACACCAATGCAAAGTTTAGTGCAGACACCCAACACACAGAGCCCACTTCAACTCACAATAGGGATTATAGGTGCGTGCCATCAGGCCTGGTGATGGGGTGATCTTTTTTTTTAAACGGTAAGACACTGGAAATATTTCATTGATAAAATCTTTCTTTTTTGATTATTTTAAAATAAAAGGACTCCTTATGATATGTAAAAATGAAAAATTATCCTCAAATATTTCTGAAACTGTCTAAAATTTGATAGTTAATTTTCTATTGACTTTCATTATAAAATTTGGAGATGTACTCTTCTAGACATATCAAAGCTCTAGGAAAATCACATTTAAAAGATGTTTTACTACTATACCTAAAAAAAGCTAGAAGTATCTGGTAAAACATTAATGTTAAGTAATATGTTGCAATTTTGGTTTGTATGTATTTGGCCAGATAACTAAAAAAGGTATGGAACCTCTGACTCTGCCCTGATCTTCTTTGGTTCATTGTGAGATCCTGAGAATTTGAAATGAAATCATCTGGGGTGTAATGCTAGAGCCAAAGAATATAATTCCTCCCTGATGGGAAAAACTCTTGTTCACAACAGAACCTCTGAAGGCTTAATAAGAAAAATTAATAGCTATGAAGAGTAGCTAAGATTTATTCTAGAGGAGGTTTTAAACTTTGTTTGTTGTTGGTACCATCAATAGTTAGTTCCTACCAGACCTCTAAAAATAATGTGACTCAGATAACAAGACGACTCAATGTAATAAACACTGCTTCTAAATGTAAACTCCAGGCATTACAGAATTAGGCAATCCATATCCTAGGAAGAACAAAGACAGACAACCAGAGGGCTTCTGATTGTCAAAGGATCTTTCTTGTTATAACTGATAAACTGACTTCTCTAAATTTCCAAAGTAAATGAGTAAAACCTAAGTCACTTTTTTCATATACGTGAAAAATCTTCAGATCATAGGATCAAAGAGTTAGGAATGGAAGAAACCCTCTAGAAGCTATCAATTCATTTTACAGATGAAGAAACTGAGGCGAAGGGAAGCCAAGTGATAGAGGCTCACAAAGCCAATAATGTATGAGGCAGGATTTGAACTTGTCTTTTATTTTTTTTTCAAACAACAAGCCTATGATTTAATTCAATGTGCCACCTAACATTTCCTTCAGAAAATTATTTTTAAAATAACTTTAAATTTTTAAAATAAGACAAATGATTTCTCAGTGAGGAGAAAAATTATTTTAAACATGTGGAAAGCCGATGTATATTTCAAAAGACAATGATATTGAGGCAGCTTGGTGGCGCAGTGGATAGAGCACTGGCCCTGAAGTCAGGAGGACCTGAGTTAAAATCCGGCCTCAGACAATACACTTGATACGTACTAGCTGTGTGACCCTGGGCAAGTCACTTAACCCCAATTGCCTTCAAAAAAAAAAAAAAAAAGACAATGATATCATTTTCTGATGATCATAATGGAAGTGAAAGTGAAAACTCACCTTTCAGAAAAGAAAATAAAAACAAAGACTCACAGCTCAAACTGCCTATAGGACATCTTTCCAGGGACAGCTGGAATCATCAATGTCTAAACATCTCCATTTGCATATGCCTTCTGAATTCACTATATTTATTGGTGGTCAGAGGTAGCTAAGTGACATGGTGAACTTGGAAGCACTGGACTTGTAGTCCACAAGATCAGAGTTAAACTCCTGCCTCAGCAACCTATCAGGTGTGACCTAGGGCAAGTCAGTTAACCTTTCTCAGCCTGTTTTCTCATCTGCAAAATGGGGATAATAGCACCTACCTTGAAGAGTTGTTTGAAGATCAAAGACGGGCAAAGCTTCAAGCACTGCATGTGAGTTCCTCTCCTTCTCCTCCCACCCCTTTCTCTTCCAATCATTTATCTTTTCTCACATGTCTGAAACCTTGGTGAGTCTTCCTTCGCTTACCCTGTTACCAAGTCCTATGGATTCTATTCCTAGTAACATCTTTCACATCTCTCCCAGTTCCTTTCTATCCCCATAGTCACTGGTCTAGTAAAGGCTTTTATCACCACTTTGACTACAACAATAGCCTTTTAACAGATCTTCCTGCTTTCGTTCTCTTTTTCTTTCAAGAAATCTTTCATTTCACTGCCACAAAAATTTTCCATCTGCACAGATCTGCTTAGATCTGAAGTGACTCCCTATGACCAATTAAATAAAATCCAAGGTTCTCCAATAACCTGATGCCACCCCTCATACTTTACATTCCAGACAATCTAGACTTCTCCTTCTGTCCCAAACATGTCCAGAATTTTCCTTCCTCTATTACACTTTCTCCTTCTGCCTCTTTACCTAATAAAATCCTAACCTATCCTTTAAAGTCTAACTCAAACACCATTTCCTCTATGGACCATTCCTTGATTCTTTAGCTAGAAGCAACTTTCCTCCCATTAAGATTTCCAAAACTTTATTTTAATCTAAATAATGCACTTATGCTGGTGCAGTGGAAAGAATATTAGTTCTGGTGTCAGAAGACCTGCATTTGACTCCTGGCTCTGAGATCTATTCTGGGCAAATCATTTACCCTTGCTGGGCCTCAGTTTTCTCATCTGTAAAATAATGTTGCACTACCTACTTTACAGGGATATTGTAAGAAAAGTACTCAGTAAACCATAAAATATATCTACAGAAATAGGCCTTATTTTAATTTGATTTTGTTTTCTAAGTACGTGTCACATTCTCCTATAGTAGAAATAATACTGGATTTGAGGAGCTCTGCCCCACCTCAGTCACCTACTATCTATAAGAACTTGGGCAATTAATCAATAAACAATTATTAAGTGCCTATTATGTGCCAGGCACTGTGCCTAAGTGCTGGGGATACAAAAAAAGGCAAAAGACACGTCTCTGACTTCAAGGAGCTTACAACCTAATGGGGGAGACAACCTGTATACAAATATATACATATACACAAGCTAGTCATTTAAGTTCTCTGGTCTCAGTTTCCTCACCTATAGATTGAGGGGGTTGAACTAGATCACTCCTAAGGTCTTTTCCATTTGTAAATCCTAAATTCTATGCCTTTTACATATTCTGCTTGATCCTGTGACTTGACTGTAATGTCCTTGAGAGTAGAGGTAGATGCTGTCTTATGTAAACTTGTATATCCTTCAGCATGGCAAAATGCTCTGCACATGGTACAGGCTTAGTAGGCTGCTGCTGAACTGAACTTACTTGATTATTGTCTTTAAGTATTTGGAAGAATTTAATATATATAGAAAAAGAATTAAATTTATTCTGCTTGGTTCAGAATATAAGCCTAGGGACCAATGTTTACAAGGAGACAGATTTTAGTATAACACAATTACTAACTTCCTAACCATTAGAATTGTTTAAAAGAAAAAAAAAAGAAAAAGGGAACTGGCTACCTTGAGAAGTAGAGAGTTCCCTAATACTAGTGGTTTTCAAATGAAGGATATTATTTATACATACATATATGTGTGTATATATACATGTAGATAGATAGATAGATAGACATAGACATCTGTATAGATATAGCTAGATATCTACAAAGTACAAATAGCTCTAGACATCTATCTTGAGATAGATATCTTTATTTATAGTAGATATCTATCTATACATAAATAGAGAGGAGAAGGGATTCAGGCTTCAGTAAGGTTCAGACTAACAGACCTCTGAGGTTCCTCACAACTATGAAATATATTCTATTATTTGCTCTGTTGGTCTAAATTTATAGTTTATATCAATAAATGTGCCCTCCCAGTTTTCTATGTACCATCAGACATATTTCAAATTAGTTGTATCTTTGAAGTGCCAGCTGAGTAGCCTAAAATTTATACTTTCACAGAAAGAATCTCACCAAAATAATTAAAAGCAGCTGAGAGTTCAGCAGATAAAGCTTCTGGCCTGGAGTGAGGAAGACCTGAGTTCAAATCCAGCCTCAGACACTTATTAGTTGTATGACCCTGGGCAAGTCACTTAATCCCTGTTTGCCTTAATTTCCTCATCTGTAAAATGAGGATAATAATGGCATCTACCACCTGGGGTTGTTGTGAAGATCAAATAAGATAACATAAGTAAAGTGCTTTACAAACCTTAAAACTACATAAAAGTTAGCTATCATTATTTTTCAAATACCTTTTATAACCTGCAGATGAAAATTTAACCTACAGTGTATGGGCAAATGTTGATTTCTGTAGACAAAAAAGGGGTATTTTTGAGTGAAACGGAGGGAGCCTTTGAACTGACAATACTTGGGAAAAGTATACAAAAAATTGGAATGATTGCATGCAGCTTTCGAGTGAAAAGCTTTCCCCCCTTTACAACACAAGAACAAATCAGGTAATAACCGTGGTTTCCGCGGAGATAGGAAACTAGAGGGATCAGAGAGCTCAATTTGCAGTTAAATGGGCTGGAAACAATCTCCAGCACTGGAAAAAGAGAGAGAGAAAAATATGCATGACAGCCAAAGGGGACTCTTTCCTAGAAATTTTACTTGTCTCTCCTGGCTTCAAAAAAGAACAGGAAATCTGACCGAAGCAAATGGAATGTTGAAGTGTCACAGCATAGTACCGAGTGCATATAAATCAAGACCTCTCATTTATTCAGGAGTTACTCCCATCCTGGGTTGCTGATTTGCTTCTTTTCACTCAGTAATTATGCATTACTGAATACGAAGAATAATACTAGGATAACTTGGAAGGATAAAGCAGATAAAACACCACCTGAGCCCACAGGAAAATGATCTGAGCAATTGGAATCTTAATGAGAGATAACCGTAACAAATGGATATAGTGCCAGAATAAGAAAAAACACAAGGTTTTCAAAAACTTCTTCATAATCAATGTAATACCTTTATGAGTTGTGTAAAGAGCTGCAAATGTCACCACGAAGAAAGTTGTGGAGTATTTGCCAGCATTAGCTAAGTGAGGAAAGGCCCTTTTTGTGTCTCGGTACCGGCGCAGGCACTGGACGAATCGCAGATAAGCTGGAATGCACTGAACAATGGCTCGCACTCCATAGCTGTACGAGTGGCAAATATCTGTTCCTGTGAAGATTTCAAAGGAAGAAACAAATCACAAATTTTATATTTTTCTTTTCTACATTCCCATTCTACCTCAATCTCTTTATATTTTCTAGAAGGGTAGATTAGTTTATTGCTTAACTGACATTGATGCTTCACGTTTACATTACCGTTCTATACAATGAGGAACGATGAATTCTCAGATCATTTCCTTCTCCATAAGTTTTATCACCAAACTTTTTAGTGGTCAGCTAGTTCAAAGGAGGAACAAGAGAAGAAAGGCTAGAATACAGGGTGGCTATTGGAAAGCTCTGATTTCTCATTTTTTCTCTAGGCTCCTATTCCTGAATCAAAAGTCCTCCTTTAGAGTATATAAAAGTTATAAGGCTTGTCTGTCCAAAACTGCAGAGGCAACCAGTTTACTTGATAACCAGAAGTTTCTTTAAAAAAACAAAAACAATAACCACTTCCTCAAAGTATTCTTCCTAACTCTGGATATCAGCATTTTTTTAATTAGCTTAGAATGATGTTTCACCAAAATTAAGCAGGAAGCAATGCAAGGATGAAAAGTGATTGTCTTGCAATAGGTCAGTTGCAATACAAACAGAAAGATCTTATGACAATCTGCTCTTTTGGTTTTCACTGTTCTTAGAGTGAAATTACAAAGTATCCTAGTAAATAGTTTAAATTTAGAACATCCACAGGGTCAGAATATGTGGGTTTGAATCATGACCCTGCCCCTTAACAGTTCACATTTTGGAACCTCAGTTTTCTTGTCTGTCAGATAATAAGAAGAATAAATAAGAATAAGAATAATCAGTTGTATTTGTATTACCTAAGTCAGAGGGCTACTGAAAAACCTTAAGAGAGAGAATGCATACAAACTATTTTATAAATTGTGTAAAGCACTATATAAATATTAGCTATAATCATTACAACACAAAATTTAAAAACTAGATTATATCAGATGAATAAGAATGCAAGAAAGAAATACAAAATGTTTGAGTTTTTGATATTATGTTTTCACCAGGGAATAACAATTTCTAATCAGCATTCCCAACATTTTTGGGGAAGTTTAGTCTCAAGTGTGGATGCGTATTTTTCCCCTACCTCCCATTTTATCTGGCAACAGGCCTTTGCTTTCATCCCATTTGAGCTCAAAGCTGTAGAAGCAGATCATATATTCCAGGTCCATAAGTAACACTGTCAGGCTGTTCAGCTGATCGGCCAGCCAGAAATCAGCAAAGCCTACCTTATGGAAGGGGGCTGTGAACACTCGGAACTGGGAGAAGAAAAAAAAAAAAACACAAACATGGAAACATGAAAAAATCATCATATCTTTAATTTTTCCAATTCATGTATGTCATATCGTGCAGCAGGTGATTGGTTTGGCTACTAACACAGACGCTGCTAAACCAATCACAGACAAACATGAATACCTGGTAACAGTTCATTCAATATCATGGCTCAAAGTGAGTTACATGGGCAGCTGTGAGGAGAGAAAAGGTGAGGAGAGTCAGAGGGAGAAGATGAAGGAAACAGAAAGGAAGGGCTGTCATGACTGGATGTCATGAAATTTAAGCACTCTCAAAATGGAATGGAGGTGGAGGGCTCCTCTGCCCCTCTGCAGTTACTCTGGGCTGTGCAGTATACTTCAGTCCAGTGGGCTGCAGCAGGTTCGTTCTGGGGCTTCTTCCACGTCGATGATTCTGTGCTATCATACAAGATCATTATCAAGTGTGAAATTCTGCAGGACGTCTTCTGGCTGGAGTCTACCTCATGACTTCATTCCAGCAAATCCTCTCCTGTACCCGATGGATACACATCTCCTCAGTGCCCAGACAAGATGGGGAAGGGGTGTGGAAGAATCTTGCTCACACTGATGCAAGAGTCAGCATTGCTACACTGATGAGGATCCCTAGCATTCATTATGAAATTGCCTCATAAAAGCTGCCCCCACATGCTGGTTATGAGACATTATGATTTTGCAGAAAACTATTTACTATTAGAAAAGGGACATATATGACATTTTGGTGGAATGGGTGTCATTCTAATACCTTGCCACGGCAAATGTTCAAGTGACCTCTCTTACCTATTTAGCCTCATAACCTCATAGGCTATTTTGGTCAGTTTTATGTGAGGTGAAAGAGGCAGGCACCTTTGTCCCTAGCAATGCAGACCTACTCCTTCCTTGTACAACAGGAAATGGACTTCCACCTCCTAGCCGCTTACCCTACTTTCTTTACTCTAAATATTCACCAGGAGGGCACTCAAACTACTAGTATTCACAGCTCCAGCTCTATCATAGTTTGAGATCCTCTACTAGGTTTTGTTCTACCCGGTTGTCTATGGGCATCTCTCATCCAGGTTGGCAATTTCAACACAATAGCTCTCTGTCTAAATGCTCACAAAGATTTGTTCTATACATGAACCCCTGTTCTGGTAAACACACTAAAAAAGCCAGTTGGCAGGCAAAACAGGTTCAACCTGAGTGAAAATACTGGTTTACAAAAATCTCCACTTTGTTAACCAATCATGCATGATAGGCTCTGATTCTAGATTGTGCTAGGTTGGTTTGGTTGTGTGGATATGGGTTTGAACTAAAGCAAGCTGTGTGGGAATCTAACTTCTGTTCAAAACTACTACTGAAGGCCTGTCCTAAGTTCAGACCTGTTCCTTACAAAGAACCTCCTGAATGAAGAGGTTCTATCACATCCCACCGTCTCATACAGGTTCGTATCAATGTTTTAAAAAGAGCTTCCCAAACTTAGGTGGTTAAATCTATCCTTATGCAATGTGGTACCAGAAACAGAGGGAGCAGACATGGAGTTGGAGGGCCTGGGTTCACATTCCAGCTGTCACTGTGTGACCTTAGACAATTTTATATCTCTGGTTTTTCCCTTCTGACAAAAGAGAGGGTTGTATCAAATGGTCTTAGTTCTCTTCTAGCCCTAAATCTATGATCCCTCTGGCAAAGAGAAATGTAAGGAAAAGATTCAAAGGGAGTAAAATAGTTAGGAGCATAGCATCAGCCGGCATAAAGAAAAGAGAATCTGACTCAGTCTTAGGGCACCATCACGTGATAAAGTGGCGGCAGTCAAGAACAAAGATCCTCTTTCACATTGCCAAGAACAAACTGCAATTCCTGATACTGAGTCAAAGGTATATCTGTAGACTGGGCCCTTGTTGGAGCAAAAGGGAAAGATGCTGAACAAAATAAGGAGGAAAGAAGGAAAGGGAAGCAAATGGAAAGGAGAGGGCAATGAGAAAAAGGAGGAATTTGGAGAGGAGATAGGAAAAGACAAGGAAAGGAGTTGGTAGAGTAAAACGGATGGGAGCAGGAAAAATACCTATACTTTTCTCTCTAATATTAATGAACTATTATAAAAGCAATGAGGAAAAACACACTATTGATTCTACTTGGAATATATCATGCTTCTGAGACCTGTGCATAGTCTATGTACTTTAAAAAGGAAGAATTCTAGATTTCAGAATTTCAGTTTATTCTCTCATAAGAACAATTTGCTCTTCTTACTGAGTATCAAATGCTTTTCTAAATATTTTCCTCTTTTTACTGAAATTTTATCAATACGTATCTAAGAAATTCTACCAGCCAGTCAAGTTCACATTAGGCTTCCTAAGAATTCCCTCAGGCCTGTCATCCTCATTACTTTCCTAGCTCTGCTTTTGACTGTTGGGATTTCATTGCCATGCAAGGTACATCCCTTCTAACCACCCTCCCCACTCCTACCTCACCTGCCTTTAGTTTCCTTTTATATTTTATCTTCCACCATTAGAATGTAAGCTCCTCGAGAAGAGGAGCTTTCTTTTTGTTTGTATTGTGCCTCCAGTGCTTAGCACAGTGCCTAGCATATATTACATATTTAATGAGTTAGTTTACTTGACTTGAATCAATGTATGAATAAATTATAGAAGTTAGATATTTTACCAGTCACTTAAACCATTTTATAAACAACAACAAAATCTTAGAAACTAAGGAAATGCTTCTACTACTAAACAACAGTTTCAAGTATAAGAAATATCATTAATTCCAAACTCAGATTTTGGATAGAAAATTTATAGCTAATGGACATAATTTTACTTAAGGTATTTGTTTGCTTTGTACTAGCATGTACAGCCTTACCACAAGTAAATCAAGTTCACATATAAGAGTGTGTGTGTGTGTGTGTGTGTGTGTGTGTGCGTGTGCTCAGGAGCGCGCAGCTAGCCAGCTCTTCATGAATGAAAATTTTGGTTTGGGGATAACATCACTTACACACCTGGTGTGTTCTTCCTCTTCTCACCCTTGTCTCTTAAAACCTCTGGCTTCCTCCAAGACAGCTCAAATATTACATTCTGTAAGAGGCCTTCCCAGTCCCCACAGTTCCTAGCACCTTCCTCTCAAAGGTTACTTAGACTTTGTATCTTGTATGTACCTATTTAGAGACAAGTATCTACTCTATTAGAATGTAAGTTCCTTGAGAGCAAGCACTGTTTGCTTTTTCCTTTGTATCCCCAGGGTTTAGCATAGTGTATGGCACAATGGTAAGCATGTAATAAATGTCTGTTGATTATTAAGATGTTTGATTGATACATCCAAAATTAATATTGGATATAAACAGTTATAAGTGACTACCAATTTGTTACATAATTTGTGAATTAACTATACTTCAAGCTAAGAAAAAAATACATGATTTATTTTATGCTCTTTGTTAAATAGTAAGAGATAAGGAATTTTAAGAGAAGCATTGAACCAGGTGGAGAAATCCTTGGCTGAATTTCACTAGGATTAAGTCTAAGAACAGAATACGTCAAGTTTTAAAAATTAAATTAGGCTGATCAATACTGGAGTTTTCAACTACAGGGGACTTAACTATTTCATTCCTGCTAAGTTTTATTATTCTTATAACAACACTTTCTTTCTGCATTGAATATTAGCAATGTATTTCCTTACTGTATTACCTTTGGTATCATGATTTCCAACACATTCCATCAATAAATACTCATCTATTAAACACACAGCAGTTGTACTGTTTATTGTCATATGCAGTTGGCAATCTTTCTGCTAATAATAAGCTGTGTAGGTAATTTGTCATGCAAGAACCATAACTTGTTCCTCAACAAAGGCAGATATATAGAGGGAATGTTCACTTAATATATAATGCACAAAACTATGCAATCTTTTCCTGCAATGATCCAACTGCAGCAACACTCAAGTCTTTCAAATTCCTAATTCATTAAAAACTTGAGATGGGCTTCAAAATAAGAGATATAATATAGGCTCAACTGGTGTTTACTTGAAAACAGTTATGTTATTTAGTGATATATCTTAATCAGCTCTATTTCCATAAAGCAGTGTTAGAAATAACACTTGTGAAAACTTAACTGGCTCACTATTGAATAAAATAGAGTGCTTACTGAAAAAAAGTGGTAAAAACAGAAATTCAAAAAATAATTCCAAATATAAAATGTAATTGGGTGTGGATAAACTCAATTATACTTCTCAGCACTTCCTGGTGAAAAATCAGTATTATTCATCTAAGCTTCCAGTACAATAACTATTGCCATTTTAAAGTCTATCCTGTAAACTATAATCTCCAAAAGCCCCCCTCCTCCCAAAAAAGAGTAACAATTCACTTCCTGTTTTTTTTAAAGTATATTCCAATACTTCCTCATGGAGGGGATGAATTCTGGTTTTTAAAGACTACATAGGTAGAGTGGACCTTGGGAAGGTTTTACACCAAGCAAGGAGGACTTCAAAGGCTGATCTAATCAGACTCTGTCACCAGAGACTGTCATCCTTTTATACTGCTCAGTGTCTAGCACAGTGTGTGGCACTTAGTAGTTGACTGGCAAATGTTTACAGAATTAATTAACGGATTATGAAGTCTGAGGAAATGTTTTTGGATATTCAAAGATATTAACATGGAAGGATAAGAATTGTTGAGTACTGTAACTGAAATACTGTAGGGAAGTCATGACTAAATAATTTCAGAGATACAGTGGCTTTCATGTGGCATACATCTTATAATCCCCAGGACTTCTGAAATACAGTCAAAGTAGAGATTTGTACCCTGTCATTCTTCTATGACTGTACTGAGAAATCATTCAAAGATCCAACTTACAGAAGCAGCCGGGAAAGGAGCAGGCCATGGGGACAGAACGAAGCACTCTCTACATACCACGTGCCTGCATTTTTTTCATATCAATAATTTTTCTTCAGCTTGCCACATATATGAGCAAGGAAGAAGGCGATTCCTCCCTCTCAGATATTGCTTTACA